CTACTCTTATAGTATGTCTATGCATGAGACCCTAAAAGGGGGCGGGGCCTAACGGGAAGCAGGTTCTGACCCGCTCCCTCCCAACTGATGGTCCTGATGCTGCTGAGGTTACCTGAGACTGTCTCCTCTCCTGGGGTCAGAGGTCAGCATCCTGCAGGACCAGGAGAGACCAGAGTTGACCTGAGATGAGCTGAGCACACCAGGGGGCAGCAGAGAGGACGACTGCAGGGACTGGAGGACATCTGAGACACTGAGGAGCTGAGGGACGGACGGGTCCACCTGGTACTGAGGACAGAGACACTGAGTCCATCTGAGGACAGACAGACAGTGGGACATGTCTCTGAGGGACACCTACCTGGTCCAGAGGACAGCGGTGAGGCCTGTCCAACATCTCAGAGTAGATGTCTCTCTGTCCTCGTCCTCTCTGTGTCCACAGCATCTCTGATAGTTTCCAGGACAGAAGACAGACGCAGTGAGGAAGAGGAGGATGAAGAGGAGGATGGAGCGGCTCAGCAGGGACCAGACTGGAGACAGAGGGACAGGGGACAGTTGGTGGGACATGTTGGAGACAGTTGATCAGCTGATCAGAGGACGATGATCACATGACCCATGAGATGGTGATGGAGCTCCTTCCTCCTGATCATTGATCTGGGTTGGGCGTCATGACACCATGTGGCCCATGGTGGCGCCACTGAGCCTGCTGCTCTCACTAAGTGTTTCTAAACAGGTTCAGTCTGTGGAAAACTGACAGTCTACAAAAGTGACGCCATATTTTACTGTCAAAACTACGACAGCTAGAAAAGACCCAAGAGTTTCACAGGTCAGGAAAAAGTTTTAATTATACAGAAAGCAGGAAGTGGGTCAGCTCTGTTAGCTTAACAACGTTAGCATGTAGCTGGCCTGCAGTTTCACGTTTTGGTTAATTTAGTGCTACAGGGTCACAAACACAGTTGTTACTCTTTATTCATCTATCTTTGTGGGGGCTTTCCATTGACTTCCATTCATTTCTGCAGACGAACCAATTCAGTTCACACCTTACACTTGAACCGAACCACGAACCCAAAAATGGCGATTCCCCTCATGGAGACCAGGCTTCAAGGAGCAGTGGGTCCCCATAACCCCACATTGTAGACATGCAAAGGTCCCCATGAGGCTATGAAAACATGGTTCACACACACACATGCCTTCTGTCATTAAATCAAACATCATTCTATAAAATGACCAGTCAGAGCCTGAGGGGACTACAGGATGGTGACCAGTAATAACCAATAATGACCAGTAATAACCAGCAATGACCAGTAATGACTAGTAATAACCAGTAATGACTAGTAATAACCAGTAATGACCAGTACTAACAAGTAATGACCAGTAATAACCAGTCAGAGCCTGTGGGGGCTACAGGATGGTGGTGACCAGTAATAACCAGTAATGACCAGTAATGACCAGTAATGACCAGTAATGACCAGTCAGAGCCTGTGGGCACTACAGGATGGTGACCAGTAATGACCAGTAATAACCAGTAATGACCAGTACTAACAAGTAATGACCAGTAATAACCAGTCAGAGCCTGGGGGGGCATATATGTTGAGGATGGTAACCAGTTCTCCTTCTAATCTCCCCTTAATCAGCATGTATGTCCCTTCTTTGTCTTTTATTCTGAAGGCTTTTCAAATATATTTCTTTCTGATGTAAGGACTGCGACTCCTCTCCTACGGCCTGATCTATAAGAGGAGTAAAATACTTGACTAAAACCATTTCTCTTTAGTTTCTCTTTAGTTTCTCATGTTCCTTCTCGGTCAGGTGTGTCTCCTGCAGCAGTGCCACTCCCTCCCTTCTCAGTTTTCCTAATACTTTAGACCTTTTAACTGGGTTGAGCATCCTGTTCACACTAAACGAGGCCAACTTTAATACCTTTTTCTGTGTTTTCATTTACTCCTTGTGACTCCTTATTCTCCACCTTCTCTACACCTTGAAGGACCCTTAGGCTACAGACAAAGTAATAATGAACACACAACTGAACAGTTTTAGAGTGTTCACTGATGAACTAGTGACTAACCAAAGACCTTCCAAGAGTGGGGTCTGCACTTTGACCCTTTGTAAGCCATGATGGAAAGCCTGCCCAAAGGGAAGTCCTCTCCCTGCAGAGGGAGTGGGCCCTTTCTGCTGCAGCTAGCTTTGTTCATGTTTGCACCACTGCTCCAATGTTATGGGAGGATACCCCGACCCTAATGAAAAAAACTCCCTCAGGAAAAATAAAGAGACCCAAAAACATTTCTGTTAACTTGAACAAAGTCATCATTCACTAAACACCGGGTTTTCCCTTCAGACTTGAATAGACCCATCCAAAAAAACTAAAGATCTTAAATACCTCATTTTAAAAGGCAGTGGTCCTTAAATCTCATCCTGACTTCGACTAAAACATTGCAATCGTTGTTTGTATCTTTCTATTGTCTCTCTTGGTGTCTGTCCCCCCTTCTTGGCCCCGATGGTCCAAGTCAGGCGTCTGATCTTCTCCAAGCTGGTCTCCGCCGGTCTGGTCTCCGCCACCTGCAGTCCTCGCTCCGCCCTAACCCTAACCCTAATCAAAACTCAATTTACACCTTAGTCCTAACTCTGACCCCTGACCCAAAAACAACGTTTCTCCTTGTGGGGCCCAGGCTTCGGGTCCCACAAGGAGCAGTGGATCTCCACAACATGATATGTGTCAGAAAAATGGTCCCCACAAGTTATTACAAACAAACGCACACACAGATCCTCAGCAGATGTTTAAATGATCTAACCAAACACTGCTGTGTTCACTTATTGGTGATAAAAATATTTTCATCAATTCTGAAAATGACAAAATGTTCTGTTTGGGTTTTTTACTTCCTGTGTGGAAAATGTTTTTGTGGTTTTTGGTGTTGATTCCTTTACTTTAACTAAGCTCTGCTGTGGGTCAGCGGAGGAGTTGTGTCAGTTGCCATGACAACAGGTCTGCATAGCGCCGACACAAAGAGCGAGAAAAAGAGAAGAACCTCCAGAGCCCTGTAGACAGGCTGAAAGCGGATCGGACCGGTCCAGACCAGAACCATCACCTGTGGGCCAGCTGGCAGGCCAGGCTGCAGGTCCAAAGGTACTGGTCCACTCCTCTGTTGCTCTGCAGCAGTAACCGTGGCAACACTCCGTCTCCAGGGCAACGGGATTCTTTGGAGGCTCCGCCCACCCGGCTGAAGGCCGACACCCTGAGGGAGGAGCCGAGGCAGCAGCAAAGCATGCTGGGAGGGAAGTCAGGGCTCGGTCGGTACAGGAAGTGGACCTGATGCAGCTGGAGGAAAAAACAGATGGTTAGGGACCAATCAGAGGTCAAGGACCAATCAGATGTCAGGAACCAATCAGAGCTCAAGGACCAATTAAAGGTCGGGGACCAATCAGAGGTCGGGAACCAATCAGAGCTCAGGAACCAATCAGAGTTCAGGGACCAATCAGTGCTCAGCAGCAGTACTCACCTCCACCTGATCTCCGGGTCTCAGCTTCCTCCTTGCTGGCGGCTGATAGGCCAGGCAAAGCCCCACCTTCCTGTCCAGCAGGTAAAGCCCCGCGCCCTCATTGACCACCTCTGTCACCGTGCCCTATCAGAGGACAGGGGCGGAGTTTAGCTCTCA